ATCCAAAAAATATATATAATTTTGTTCAAATTTCTCTTTCTTTGTCAAACTAATAATAAAACATACTTTTAAAATAATGTACCAGCTTTCCATTATATTTTTTTCATATTATTCAACCTCCTTTTCAGTGTCAAAATGTTTTCGCCTTGTTGCACTCCCAGAGTTTTAAACTTCAATGATGAAAATAGCATTTTAAAATATTAGTTATCTGGAATCTATTAATGTATCTTGATGAAGCACTAGTGAAATCATTTAAATATTTTATAGTTATTAATGTGAGACTATTACCAATATTACTTTTTATACAAAATACAGCTGTCGTAAAGTATCAGTGTCATTTCCAGCACAACACTGTAATGTCGCTTTAAAATGTTTATGTGAAAGACTATTTAGGTGATTTCTCTGAAAATGTATAGAGCCATCTGATCATATGTTCTAGATGGAGGGAATTTATATTTTTATCAACAACAAAAATCAAGGTAAATATTGCATGATTTTCTACTACATCATTTCCAAACATGCTGTACCTTCAAGAATGTTTTTAAAAACCAAACAAAATGAAGGTAAATCAGAATGTTTTGTAGACATGAAAGGCTAGTTTAATTCAAAGCTAATCGCTAAAGCTATCTTTAATTTTTTCCCAATAAACTGTACAAATGTCATTTCCATCACCACACACATTTATAAAAAATATTGAAAAAGTTCTCACCACACAATAAAAGTGTGTGGAGTTGATGCTCTATTTAATATACAAATTCAGTTTATTTATTTTCTAATAAGCTCTTAACCAAATTAATATTACATTTTAGAGTATGACCGTTGTACAATTCAGCAAACAATTTATTTATTTCATTGACAAATGTATAACTATATTGTGGAAAGATTGGTTAAACTAGATACAGAGATGATCTTAGACAATGTTTGACTGCCATCATTTACTTCATTTTGAAATAAGCTGTATATTGAGATGTGCTCAGATTGTTCAGCTCACGGTGGACAAATGTTTCTCTTCTTATCTAAGTTTTTCCTTTCACAGATCTTAAGACTAGACAAATTGTTTAAATTTATGAGGCTGTGTTACGTTTATTTTGAACAAGTTTTTTTTACTCAAATTCACAAGGCTAAAAGTGCCCACTGCCCATAGTTGAAGAATTGCCCATATATATATATATATGTATTCGATATAGGTATTCAATACAGAACTCCTATTAGTAAAACAAATCGTTTTAAACTTTCATTCATCCCCTCAGCTGTGAACTTTTTAAACTTAGGGTAGAATTTGTATTGTGTATTGTGTACTTTTGTGTATTGTGTGTGACATGCTTGTATGCTGCAACCAAATTGCCTTCCGGAAATGAATAAAGACTGACTGACTGATCCTAATCTACATCCCAATGCTGCCAACTAATACCTTATTAACTATTAATATGCAGCAAATTAGCAATAATTTATCAAAGCAATAATTTGTACCTTAAAATAAAGTATGACCGTATATGGTAATTATGTAAATGAAGCTACTCTATGTGGGGTTTTTTGCACAATAAAGGGTTAAAATGTGATATTTTCTAGCCCCTGACATCTATAGCGTGCATATAAAATGATCCGTAAAGAACTTTTCAACAAATGCTAAGTCTGTTCATTTAGAAATTAAAATGCGCATATATTAGCACTTTATGTAAATTTTTACTGTTTTAGAAGTGAGCGTTTTTATTCAAGTGACGGTATCATCTCTCGTGTCCTGTGTTGATTTATATTCACTCTACCTTTTTTATATTACAAAAAATACATGTTGAATAATTTAGCTACTGACTTTTTTTTCTTAATAAAATACATTTTTGATATTTGTTTGCGCCGTCAAAATACCTTTCAGTAAACCATAGTCAGTGTGTGTTTTAAATATACACTTTTTTTTCTGGTGATTTTCCTTTTAGCCAAAATCGTGCAGCTCTCCTTTTTATACAGGCTGAAGTTGAATCGAAAACTCAAATAAAAAGGTGTCAATAAAAGGAAAACTTAAATTTACATTTTAATTTGAATTGTGTCACTATTATAGCGTGAACATTAGTAACATACATTGTGTTTGCATTTTATTTTTCAGTTTGGCTTTTCATTTTAATATTGGCAGTCTTGAATCAGAAATGCAGCGAAAATGAAATGTTAAATCAGAAACTTCATTTTAATTATGGATTTGACAGGGACGATGTGTTGCCACAGTGAAAATGAAAATTAAATCAGTTCATTTTTAATTTTGGCAGATATTTTGCAAAGTGTTTTATAATGAAATTGTTAATCTGGATTTCATTTTAATTTCCATCGTTTATTTGATTTATTTAAAATTGGCAGGATTTACCTTCCATACACAATCTGGCAGACTTTAAACGATGCCAGCAATTAATCCACTCTGACTTCAATCTGATGAAGCAACACACAATTATGAAATACTCTACATAAATTGGGACCCTGTTTTCTTTGACATGTACATTATTGTACATTCATTGAAAAGGGTATGGTAACAGTTTATTTATTCCATCTTTACTGATTGTTTTTAGCATTTTAATAATTCTGATAAAAATTAACACACGAGGGCTGTTGAGTTTAGTATTATAACCTATTTATAAAGCAATGTCCATTGTTTGAAGTATTATTTTGAAATATTTAAACTTATTATTTTTTAGCTTGACAGAATCGGCTTCCAGGTTTATAAATCTGCTTCAAACATATTTCATTTTTAACGCATCTCGAACTTTCATGCTAGGTTTAGTTATCAAGCCAAAATAATGTGTGTAACTTAGTTTATTTGCTTGTAGTAACTTTTCACATAGTTTTTGTTGATGATTATGTTGTTAAAAAGAATCAACAAAAAGTTTTTCTAGCCCAGATAATACAAATTAAACCATCATCCCTATAAGCTAAACACAATAACTTATGTAACGTTACTAGAATGATTTTGATACGAGCAATATTTACAGCGTAAACAAGTGTCAGATCCCGAGATTTTCGTTAGCATTCGCAAAAAACACTGCACGTTCGCGCGGGAAAATTAAGCCTAATAATAACATTACTTATCTAACGATTTCTATCTCTTTTTTCAAAGTTATTTGCGATTAATCGTCGAGAAATGTTTTACCTCAGATCAGGCGGCTTCCTCAGTCGTCCTTTTCGCGCGCTTTTCTTCTGCGGCGGGATCGATCACGTGCTCGTTCAATAAACTGTTAAGTTATCAACAAAAATATTAATAAAACCTTGAATACACAACAATAATCGCACTAATATACATTTATTTTGGCTGACATACTGAACAAAGCCGAGCTGTTAGCAGTCTTGTTTTGTTATTTGCTTTTCTTAAGCATTATTGCCATATTCTGATCCTAAACGCTGAGCTTTAAATAAACAAACAACACAAATACATTAAATAAGAAAGACTAAATAAATTCATTTCTTCGTTGTTATTTTTGTGGGGTTCACATTGGTCTTGTCTAGCTCACGTGATTGAGGTTCTTCCATTCAGATGAACTGAAACACAACATTTTAAATAAAACATTTGTGAACTATTTCACAAAAACACAAAGCAACATCAGAATCAATTCTCAGTGTTTCCAGGCAATGACACAAGAAAACAAACATGTCCATTGTTTGTATTGGTGTGAATACAGTAGATGAAACAGTACGATAGTTAAAAGACTGTCACGATATTTCAGTAGAAACAGACCGTATATTTGCAAATAATGCAAAACAATTCAGAATACATTTAAACAAAGGGAATTAATGAAGAATATTATACATAATATAATCTTTGTTGCAGTTTATTAGGCTGCTAAATAAACTTTGTTAATTAATAGTACATCAATAATTACAATATGATCTTGTGCTTAAAAGTTGTGCTTAAGTAAAGGTCTGTTCACACCAAGGTGGAGGTGGTTAAAGTATAAAATATTTGCAATTCCTTTTTTTGCAGTAAAGTTTGATGCATAGTCTATTTAAATAACTCGATCTATAATATATGCATACAAAAAACATGTTTTACAATCTTGCAGTGAAGTTTTCTTTGTGCCAGAAACTCTTGGTGTGAACAGGCCTGACATCTACAGGACATAACATCAAAATACACCTTTCAGATGACAAAACCATGAGTATATGTCTGACAAGTACAAACTCCAAATAATGGCAGTTAAACTGGTGTGCCGTGTGCATTTAAAGTGAGAAGTGCAATAAGTTAATAGTGGTTAGCTTCAGCTCTGTTTGGTGCATTGGTCATACTGTTTTCTATCTGAAATAACAGTCCATCATGAGTTCCTTAAGCTGAAGTATGCCATTTCTGTCAATAAAATCATTATTAAAATCTTCCTTTTTTGTTTAACCCTGGTGTGTGCTGTTCAGATTGACTCTGCTTTGGTGATGCTGGTGCTGTTTGTGCTCCATTGACTTCCATTATAATCACATTTATTGATTGCAGACAGGGAAAACCAGCAGAAATCAAGAATGCATGATTATCTACTGTCATGACTTTACAATCAATAAATGTGATTATAATGGAAGACAATGGAGGAAAAACAGCACCAACATCACCAGAGGAGTCAATCTGAACAGTGTGTTGTTGAGTTTTAAAACATTTTCAAAGCATTTTTCCCAAAATATGTGTGAAAATAAGATTCATCAGCAGAAATCATCACATTTGCTGAAACACAGAGAAAGAAGAGGCCAAATGAAGACTCAGAATTAACCCCGAGAGGATGAAAACGACCCAACAGCACACAAGGGTCAATATGTAGAAGCAGCTTTGAAAAAAATACTACAGTAATTTATGGTAAATATGAGTGTTTTTGAACCATGTGCATGACACTGTATACATTATCCTATAACACTTGGAGCATACTGTAATATTAACTAATAAGTATATTATAGGAGTTTTACTACAGTGTGCTGTTTACTGTAAACTACTGCAGTATTTTTCTCATGTGGAATTGAAAGTAAATGACTGAAAAGTGCAAGATCTTGTGTTTAAAGCAGCACACTGCCTGACTGCCGCTGTTAAAGCAGTAGAAAAAAGCCATATATAGCATATGTATATTTATGTTTAATATCTGAATGCATGGTGATCAGATTTGGAGACTGTGCTCTGCTCAAGTCCCACTAGTCAAATCAGCTTTTATTACTATCGTCTTTCCTCTCTCTTATTTATTACTGCATAATGAGTAGCATTATTCATGAAGAGCTGATCAAATCTGTACCTGCAATACGTTTGCTCAAATATCAACTCCATCATCAAACACTCAAACTGATGCTGATTTACCTGCTGGTCATTATCACTGGACGATCAATCCACACAAGACTTACACACACCACAGCGAATAACACACAGACACATCTCTCGCCTTCATCATTAGGGCTGGGGAAATACACCTGTGATGCGTCGCAAATTGAGAAATGATTGTGTGTGGATTCGGAAATCTTCACTGCTTTTGTTTTTTTTTATTCTTTCTGGAACGGATTCTGAGCTTAATTTTTACTAGTCAGCCA